ACACAAACTAGAGTACTGACTTTGTTCATACATTTTACATGGTGGATGCAGACGGCTGTAAAAATCGGCGGGTTAATCGAGAAAAAGTAGCTCAGATTATCGCCCATTTCGCCCAATCTCGGACATTTCCAACGAACATCGTTAGCTGATCCTCGTTCTCTTCCAATGAGCCGTCCAGGATACGTGTTTAAGACACGTCAGGGGTGTGGGGGAGGGCCAGGACTGGGCCCGTTCAGTCCGCTTGAGGAACAGACTGGAATGTTTCGGCTATGAGTTTTGAGGGTCTAATACTCTTGACAATTTTTTTAAATGGAAGATGCGCAATAGCTCTTACGATTCTTTTACACAAAACACACAAAGAAGGAGCTGCTTAACTGTGTACAGACAGCGGATAAAGTCACCCTCCCCACCCCAGAATTCTGGGGCTGCCTTTGACCGAGTTGGCTGGAAAGAGGAGGGCGATTCTGGGAGCGCGCCGTGGATGGTCCAGGTGAAGCCGTCACCGTGGCGACAGGGCTTATTTGTGCCGGCTGCCCCTCCTCTTCATGGCGGCTGTACACTGGGGACAGTACCACTTGCCTTTGGGGGCTTCTGTCAGGCCCACACAGCCATAGTGGAACCACTCGATGGGGCACTATGACACACACACACAAACGCAAAACCCGACTTTAACCTCCGAGCCAAGCAGACAAACACAGGTCTAACATAATCCTGAGATGTGGACTATCTTCCCTCCATTTGACCGGCCTTAAAGAGAAACAAAGATACTCACGTCTTGATTGTCACACCCCACCATCTCTCCGTAGGACACCTGACAACCAGAGATAATACTTTAATTTTAATTTTTTTTTAAAAGGGACCAAAAAACACACATGTGGAAGGACGGGGGGGAGCCCACCTGGTTGCAGATGCAGTACCGGGGTTCATTGGGGTCATATGTCCAGTCCACCTGGCTGTTGGCCTCAGACTCTGGCAGGGCTGACACCTGCTGCAGCTCCTGGGCGAGGGCGGAGTTAGAGGAGCAGGACGAGAGGGAGGAAGACGAGGACGAGGAAGAGGACTGGTGATTTGAAGACTTTGTGTTGTTCCTGGAACAAGTAAAACACAGTGAAACACTTTCTCCATTACACTCCTGAGTCTTTCTCCAAGACCTGGCCTCAGTGAAGGGGTCCCATAGGAATACTCAACATATCATAATAATGATGATGATGATGATGATGATGATACAAAGGGTATTTATCAGAGCTGGAAAGTTCAGGTCCACAAAGTACAAATCCAGACCAAGATTTTGTTCCAACCAAGCAGTTGACAACTCTGTGAATAAGACTCTATAGGCTAAACTGGTTGGTTGAAGCAAAATATTGGACTGGATTTTTGCTTTATGAACCTGAACTATCCACTTCTGGTATGGTGGTCATATAGTGACATATTTGCTTGTTGTGTGAGCTCTGGCGAGAAACATGGAGCTCATCTGTGTTGGGATGCCCGGTTCTGCTCTTACTTGGACTTGCGCCCCCCCCGGGAGTCTGAGGATGAGGGGGCCAGGGTCTGTGTGAGTGTGGAGGCCAGAGCCGACGAGGAGAAGCCCGGCGACTCGCGGGACAGGGAGAACTCGCGGTTCAGCGGGAAGTCGTTGTTCTTGATGGCCTCGAAGCTGGCTTTCAGGCTGGAGGTCCTGCGGCCGTCCTTCATCTGAAACGAACAGCAGGGCGGCGCTCACGCGGGGCTTGGGCATCCTCTGCGGCGTACATGCAGTGGCAGAAGGGTTCCTTACCTGGGCAGTGGCCTGCACGGCCTGGGCTGCCGCCATGGTGATGGCCCCCGCCCCGGCCCCCACCCCCGCGGGCAGGGAGCTCAAGTTGTAGGAGGTAAGAGACTGGGATGAATTCACGTTGTACGCGTTGTTGGAGGCAGAGGACAAGCTGCTGTTCCTGCACCCTGTACAAACATGGGCGACATTTCACTGTGTGTTTCTGGGGGAACTTGCATCATCTCTCTGCAGGAAGGGGAATCCGTGTGGCTTCGTGGACGCGTGTCAGAGCGGGTCCCGCGCCTCACCTGGCGTGTTCTCCTTCGACGCGTCGGACGTGAGGGTGGACAGAAGGGCCTCCGACTTGAACTTCTTCTCGGGGACGTGCTCGGTGGTGTGGTGCGCCGGAGTCGTGTATTTCCTCTCTGGGGACGGAGGTGCGACAGCGGTGAGGAAACGCCATGACGGTGGCACTCCCTGAACAAAAAACAAATCCAAGGCGGAGGAGAGCCCAGAGCCAGGCTTACTTTCCACGGCGGTGTGTGAGTGAGCATGGTGGTTATTCACAGGCTGAGACGGGCTGTCCATCTCCAGGGAACCTGACCCCGCCGCACAAGACAGAACAAATTAGCACGCGGCCTACGGTGAAAGAGCGACTTCAAATAAGGAACTGCGGATGGGAGCACACAGCTATTGTGGAAGGCTGATTAATGGATCACAGAACTTCTTACGCTTAAGGCACAGAGAAAACGGAGAGAGAGAAGATCACTTTGTAAGGAAAACTGATGACAGCGGGGGAAGCCAAAGAAGCATGTCATTTTAATCAGTCTGGATCATTAGAGAGAGAAAAAAAATGTGATGCAAAGCAGATAAGGACAGAAGGATAAGGGTGTCCACAGGCTGCTACGCTCAGATGGTCTGTTCCGCAATTCGCCGGTGCGGGTGGGACACTCACGCCTCTCGAGGATCTCTGTGATGCCAGCGTTGTCAGCCTCCAGCTCCATCTTGAACTTGGCCAGCTCCTGGTCCAGCTTCCTGAGGTGACGATCCACCTGATGACACAGAACCCATGTCAGTCACGTGCGGAATCCGTCGCCCTCGGCGACGCTACATCCCATATTCACCAGGCTCTAGAAGAGCTCTTTGTCACACACAACTTCGCTAAAGATGATGACAATAAATATAATAATCACACAATTCAAAGAAATGCTCATAAACAATTATTAACTTTACTTAATTTACTAAACTTTAGTAGTCTAACTTAAAAATACATTGGAAGACTTTTTTGGATGAGGCATTAACGCCATCTGGTGGAATTTTCATGGAAAGGCAACTTCAACCTGAAATACCTGTTCACAGCAATCACTTGAAGTACACAAACACCACCTTAACTCTGGCTGACAGAGCAAACTGACTAATTTAATTTCATCACTACCAATAATGAACATAAACAAGTTAGTTTACTCTATTGATTCTATGCCAGACTACAAAAGTACACAGCATTCACTTCAAGGATTATAGTACAATCAACCACCTAATAAAAGAGTTCATAACAAATCTGAGTATTATGTTCTGAGTGCCCTGTAATGCAAACTTTACATAAAATATTACAATTATTACACTTACTAAGTCATAAATCTGATTGGCTAACTGGACCTTTTCATCTGCATCTTCCAACGCCTTGTAATAGTCCTACAGATGGCAAAAGAATGAAAAGGTTATTATGTAAATGGATTCGAAACTTAAATGTGGGACAAAAAAAAAAAGACACGGACTCCTGTACACTATGACTAGGTAAGAGTGAGAATCCAGCTGAAGATGCTGGAAAAGGCAGCGAGAACTGAGACACTTCCAGCCACTCAGATTGTTCAGCGGCTCCTTGCATCAACATTTTCCAAACTGTCAAAATTTTATATAATGTACTGCCAGATTCATTGCATCTTGTCATATTTCCTGTCTGTACATTATGCTACATACTACCTAATGCATATTTTACACAGAACCATAATTTACACATATTCATAATTTATGTATAACTTATTGCATTTGTATATATTTTGTCTGCATCTGAATAGATGCATTTCGGTGGCTTTGTACTTGTACTCTGCACAATGACAATAGGGTTGGATTGACATCCCACCCATGACCACTTACATTTCATTTATTTAGGGGACACATTTACCTATAGTGACACACAATTGAGAAAACCGGGTCAGACAGCCCCTGAATCACTGTAAAATTATTCTGGCAACGCTGGGATTCGAACTGACAACCAGCTGATCACAGGCCTAACCCACAGATCCACTCACCATCGCAATGACCGCCACAACAGAAAATCCCCAATAACATGTCAAAGTCAGCACAGAGGATTCATATTACACGGTTTAACGACGCTAGCAATGTCCGTTACCTTCTTTATAACCTCCATCTGTTCTTCCCTCCATTCGGGTTTGTTCTTTTTCGCATTGATAAAAAACTCATTGACACGTTGCTCTAGCTGGTCCATGGCGTCTGAGGGGTGAAAAGTAAAACGCGTTAGAGGGGAATCGGCGGCGTGTCAGTCATGGGATGTTAATAAATTTATATGATCTTTTAATGCTTAAAACGTGTACCGCTTTGACACATAGGTACTGTATACTAATTACATCTTGTTAAAACTCAGAATATCAGTGGGTCAACTTTCTACTTCCAGTACTGCCGTTCACGTCACTTATACTGATATGGATGTCTGTACGACATTTTAATAACTAAGTTGTTACAAGCCTTTTACATCATACGGCGCTCCTTATCGTGGAGTGACTTTAAATCAAATGATCACACTTGGGATAAGCGTCAGTAAACAGTTTTCTGGGAAATGACTACCCCGCTATTCCACCTTAACTGTGCATTTAGCACACCCCGCAGCAACGTCGCTGCCAAAAAAAAAATCTATCCGATAACTTTTTTTTCGGCCGACCAACGCCCCGGCGGTGAAATAAAACGCCAGATTTGAGGCGCACGTCGGGGCTCTCGGGCGCCGCCGGGTCTGGCCGAGCCTGCGCTGCGGGACGCGGTCACGTTGCGGCAGCGCGTACTCTGAACTTGCAGGTCCATCTCTCTCATTTCCGTAAACCTGTCGCGCAGATCCATGGGTAGCTGCTCGATCACTGGCAACGGGGAAGGGGGAGGGGAAGGGAGGGGGGACAGACACCATTAGCCAAGTAAGCTAAACCAAAATCGGGGGGTCCCGATACTGGAATCCCAGCTGGCTATATCATCAAAACCACGGCCAAAATTAAGCGATAACGCCATACTCACTTTCCAAGTAGTCCTCTAAGTAGAGCATTTTGGCTTTTTTTAATTTTTTAGACGTTTATTAAAAGAATGCCAGTCTTTCAATATGGCGCCGTCTGCCGCTGAGGCTCAAGGAAAAAGCTAGCTATTTTTCTTACTGAGGTCATTGAGTCTGACGTATTTCCTAAGCCGACGTTTGATTGGATCGGTTTTTGAGTTGCGTCATTGTTTTGATCGGGAGTGAAGGGCACGTCGGTTATTGTAGTCCGACGTTGACGCGTTTCGTCACCAGTGTTCTTAACGTAATGCGATTCTGAATAAAATATATATATAAATATAAGTCACTTATGATTAGACGATTGATCGTCACCTCAATATTAAATTTAGCTAATTGTTTTACATGTAACGGGCCAAGGTAGTTTTCAGCATTTATCTTTTATGAGGCGCTGGATCAGACATTTAATGAATTTTTAGCTAGAAACGCAAAATAAATTTACCTATTTTTAAAGGTCTCGCAGAACGATTCATTTCTCGTGAAAAGACATAATATGCAGTCAGGAAGTAAAATAAGGAAACTGATGGAATGTGGGATTTGGTCTTGGAGCACCATAAGGTAGTTCTATAAGCGTATAACAGTCTTCCCAGGTAGAAAAAATATCTTACACTGTGTCATTGCTCTATCATCACCTTATTACTTTAATATGTTACGGTCAATTTCCCAGGCACTACATAACACTCCTACGTAACTTCTGAGTAGTGACGACCTCCGGTGGCCTTGGCGATAAAATATGTCCTTTTAAATATTTATAAAATTATTTTTTATACGTGACTGGAAGTGTTTGCTTTAATTCTCAATACTATATTTTCATTTTTGTTTAAAACTATTACCTGTTAGGCATATTCAGTCAAGCTCGTATTAATATATGATTACTATCCTGTCCCATTTTGGATTATGAGTAAGGCTTTTTTCAGTTAAGAGTTTAGGATTTTTATATTAGTAATCATTATTTTTTAAATACATCATCTTATTTTCTGTGTACCGCCATTGCCAAAGCACAACCATTTGTTATGGAAAATCAACACACATGGGCCTAACTATCTGTGACAATTAGCACAGAAAGCACACAGCAGCCCATGAGCATCCTTCCAGCTCATGCAAGCAAACGTTTTGCATTTATCTGTCCTTTCTAGCCACTTATCCAATCCAGGGTGCGGCACGGACATCATGGATGGGATGCCAGACCATTACTGGGCGTACACTACAGGTGATTTAGAAACACCTGTTTACCTAACTGCCTGTTTTTAGAATGCAATGAAAACACTGGGAGAGAACGCAAACTTCACACACAGTTAGGTGGGGTAGGGTTAAAACCCTTGTCCTTGGAGGTACACAACACTCCCCATTGTGCCACACCTACACCTATTAGCAATATTTTTATTTCATTTATAAGAATAACGAAAAGCGTTTTTCCTTCTGTATTGGTAATAATAAAATTACGTTTTTAGAAACCGGAAAGAAAGTCTGTGCTGGTGTGCAAATATGGCCAAGCGCTTCGTATGCTGGGTTCCCCGCCTGGTGGTTCAAAATGGAACTGCAGTTCCTCAACATACACATCACTATGAAGTCACTGTAGACATCTAACTTAACTGCATGCAAACTGTAAATAATAATAATAATAATAATAATAAAGCACAAACGTAAATGTGCCAATTATAAAATATATCAAGCAAGATTACAAAAATAGTAGACCCAAAAGGCAGGTCAATAGTGAATCACATTTGTAAATCAGGCCTATAGATTGGAAGCGCACTTCTGATTAATTTAAAGGGCCATAAATGCTGTGCTTCCATTTCATGGAAAATCGTTACCTCCTTAACTTTTGCTTGACTCTCTAACCCATTGTATGTCTGAGATGCTGATGACCGCCCACATTCCTTCTCCCTAGCAGTCCTCGATGCGCCTTTTCTGGGATTTGTACGCAAGATGAGCTACATTCACCTAGGTGCAGTCTCTAGGACCCAGAGGAGCACCAGAGCAGCTCGCTTGGGATCCAAGCTTACATACTGGAAGTCTTCACGGTCAAAAACTTGAATTGACAGCGCAGAGATACCCTCAGTGTTGGCAAGTCAGCAGCCGCAATATGACATTAAGTATATTTTAAGGGGAATGCATGCTCGACTGCGACTGTTTTCATCTTTTCCAGGGAAATGCGAAGGGGTTTTTGAAGAGTCGAACTGTAACTTCTGTTGTTTTGAATAACTTTACCATGTGCTCAAAGGTCCCGTGATTTGCATCCAGATTTCTGTTTATCTCAGCGAATGAATTTTTTTCAACAAACTTAATTTGCATGATCAGATCTTCTGGCCGGTTTGCGCGCAGTGTAATAATTTGTCAGAAAGCGGGGCGTTTAAAGGCATTCATAGTTTGCTGGAGTGCGTTTGAAGTGATTTGCTTAAGTGAGCGCTGAGTGATTCCGAAATGTCAGCACCGCCGAGTGCTTCTTTGCACACTTGATAAACCCGAAAGCTTTATCTTCAAAAGCACCTGCTCTCAGTGTTTGGGGGAAAAATACAGAAAAGCCAGCAATTCTAGTGAAATGGACTGAGGAATGGACTAAAACCTAATACGAGGTAGGTTCTATGCAGAACAATACGAGGATTATAATTATGATGATTATATATTCCGGCGTGACAGTGTGATTCTGTATCCCCCGCTGGCTGGCCGGGCTCCGGCAGGCGATGTTAAGATGAGGAGCGCTGGCCGGCTGGTGCGGCGGTCGGGATGGCTCGGGAGGACGCCGTGAAGTGCCTCCGCTGCCTGCTCTACGCTCTCAACTTACTCTTCTGGGTAGGCGAGGCCGAGCGGCGGCAGCAGGTGGCCGCCGCTGCCGCTCACGTTACAAACAGCAGCCAGCTTGCAGGATCCGTCTCATTATTATTCAGTTTGGTCAGCAAGGCGATCTGCGGGGCTCGGGATCTTCCCCGTGTGGGCAGCTGGACGTCTGAAGCCAAGCACTTGAGTTTAAAGTACTCCAGCTTTCGCTGTCTAGCTGCTGGCTCTCACCACTCACACGAGATAATATATTTTAATTAACCCTATGCGGACTCTTTCACCTTTTATTTTATAGACCTCCGGCGTTAAAGAAATAATTAGATCGTACTCCTGGGGAGTATAGAGATTTACAACAGCTTGATCCCTGGTATTTGGTTTATACGTCATCACTAAGAGATATAATAGAAATTCACTGGGATTAGTGCGCTAATGTGTAATAGAATATCGGTCAATGAATCCTATTATAAAAATTTATTTTTCAACTCAGACATGCTTTCCTGTCATTCCGCCCCCAGGTGATGTCTGTATGTGTGCTGGGAGTGGCAGCGTGGCTTAGAGATTACCTGAACAATGTGCTCACCTTGACAGCGGATACCAGGTGAGACCTACGTAGATGACAGCCTTGCAGAATTGGGATGGGGGGGCAGCACACAGGCTGGACCTGAAACCCAAACTTACTCAGTAACCTTCAAGGCAGTTAGCAGAGGTTTTCTGATTGGGCTGGTAAGACAAAGGCATGGGTGGACACGCGCATCACCAAACCTGTTCTCTATGTGTATTTCTAAAGCACATCCTGGTATTGATTTACTTCGACTTCCCAAAAACAACAACAACAAAAGAGACAGCTTTAGAGTCCAGTATCTGATGGGCCTGCGGGTTAGAGAGGAGCTATATCTAAAGCGGGTTTGGTAGATATCTCCTGGTTCTCTCGTTCCTCCATGTTGTGACTCCGCCGATTCCCCCTGACTGTAAACTCCGAGTTGAATTGACACAGCGAATGTGCAACAGCAGCATTCCTGCAGCGTGGAATCAGAATTTACTTGTAGCTGGAGTATTTTGTGCAGGGGCTGAGGGAGGGGTGCAGGGAGCGAGGGAGTGGGATGGATTGATAAATAAACATCACTTCTGCCAAATATCACTGAGGAATGACCCCCCCCCCTCCCCCTGCAGGCTGGAGGAAGCTGCGATTCTGACATACTCTCCAGTGGTCCATCCGGTCATCATTGCCGTTTGCTGTTTTCTGATCATCGTGGCCATGGTGGGATACTGCGGGACACTGAAAGACAGCCTGATCCTCCTGTCCTGGGTATGTGGGTGTGTGTATGTGTGTGTGTATGCTTCTCTATTTTATATGACTTAAAGAAAGAGAGTTTTCTTGGAAAGTTCTTCCAAAAAAAAAAAAAAACATACTGAAGATGGTCTTATACCCAGACGTCCCACCCCCTTAAAGAAACAGGCTAACCGGATGTTGCCATGGTGACATCATGAGGCCCCAAAATGTTCAGCTGGGAACAGCCCAGTTTCAGGGTTAGAGAGGGAATTAGTTTAGGGTTTGAGACTTAGAACCTGTGACACACTGGGTTCTTCTCCGGCAGGACGTGACCCACTCGCGGCTCCTCGTGCCGCAGCGCAAATGAGCCGGTAATCGGTAGTGAGGTTAATGCGACTCAGCTGCGCGGGTCAGACTGCGGCCGCTTGCCACCCAACTGGTCAGGTAAAGTGCTAGAGAGAGAGAGGGAGAGTGAGTGAGTGAGGGGGGGGGGG